CAATTAATAACAAGGACAATTGAAGTAGGTCACCACCTCCAGAGGGATTAGCTTTACTCTTGCTTATAATCACAAGGGTTTGCTCCTCTCTTGTTAGAGTTTATACTCTAAACAATTGGTTTTATCAGTTCCTATTATGATACGGTTTTTCTCTACTTTTGTTCTTTATGTGTCTTGTCTGTTGCATAATTTTTGTGTGTTACATTTTTAAAAACTGATATATATATAGCAATACTATTTTAGCGGCATTTAAATCTTTAGTTTCATGAGTCTGTGCAATGAAAATGAGGATATGTAAAATTTCAGATGAGCACTTAACAAAGTTACGGAATATAACCTTGTGCTTGGTTATAAATTCCCATTTTATCCAACATTCATATGTGATCTTTTACTAGAATACAATTATTGAAAGTACTCGACCATATGAATACAAGTATGACCATACGTTGCTTTTAAAGATACAGGCTCACCCAGTAACGTGGTCTAAGTAAAATATTCTCTCTTTTAATTATGTAGTCCTCCTCGCCATCCTCATCACAGCCTCATTCTAGCCCCTGCAGAGCGAAGGCCTCATCATTGTGTCACCATGCATCCCTGCCCTGGGTCAAACGTAACCATGTAGGCCCTGCAAAGGCTACCAGTCCATCTCTCCGTCTTCGTCGCTGGCGACCCTTCTTACGCCTGCCATCTTTGGGTCTCCATTCTGTTGTAAGTGTAGTCAATCTTCCATCTCTTCTCCCAGTGACAAGGGCAGTCTTTTTTGTTTGTGTGTTTGTTTTCCTTAAACGTCTTCAGTCTTTAAAGTGCTTTTCTCTTGGTTCACTCAACCATTTAGCTTTTTCTGCCCCAATAAAATTGCAAGCATACCTCCATGCTCTGCAGTCTGGCTTGACTTTTGCCTGCGCCTTGGTGAATATCCATCTTTCCACTCCATATTCTGTGAATCTAAGGGTACCTGCCTGTTGTTGAGTACTGATTGGCATTTGTGATAACACTAAGTTTCTGTGAATTGTTAAAGTGAGTGTGTGTTTCTTTACCCTTCAACTTTCTGCTTTCACTTAGAAAACTTAGGTCAACAAATGCTATGTACCCTCTGAGTTCTGTGCCATCTGTCCCTTTATTATTTTTTCATATTTCTGAGCATGACTCGTCTCTTGCCATGCTCTGGATTGCTTTACTTAGTCTGTCCTCAGTCTAACCCTTCGTGGTGTAGTGTGTTGCATCTAAGCTATTTTATTCCTTGGTGTGGCTCAGGTATTTGGCTTAATCATGATCCGATCTTTCCTGCCAGATCAGTTTCTAAAGATCTTTTCCAATTAGGAGGTAGAAATTTGCTCCTTATGTGCTGATATGGGTGTCCTACAAATTTTATTATTTCTCTTGTAAGCTAAGATTATCAGTCAGCTATTATAATATGCACATATGTATGCATATATATATTGCTGTAAATATCCAAGTTGCTAGAATTCCAACAGTTCTCATACATTAAAATAAACAGCAGAATTAAGCAACCAAGCTCGTATCTTTCTGATGTTTTAAGCCTCTGAAGGCCACAGCTGTGCTTCGATAGAGCTCGTGGAGATGTGCAGTATCTGAATGCTTTGGTGTATGCTATACATTCATAGATACTCGTTATTCTATAAATCATTATGGCATCTGAAGCAAGAGGAAGTTTAATTATGCAGACATTTTAGCCATTTAAAAGCAGTGGATGGTCCCTTCCTTCCCCTCATGTACCTTTTAAAGCTGCTCTCAGACTACCAAGTCAACAGTCTTCTTCAAGCATTCGCTTCTACCAAATATCAGTATGGTCCTTATATACCTTCCATGTGTACTGCATATCAATAGACTGCTTGTTATTACTTCCTCCCCCCTCTTCTTCTCTCCCTCTCCTCCCTCCTCTCTCCTCTCTCTCCTCCCCTCCTCCCTTTTCTCCCTCTCCTCCTCTCCTCACCAGATTACAACATTGATTTGTCATTTTTATTCATTCATCCATTTGATATTTATGGTCTGCTGTGCTATGAACTGTTTGGCCCAGTGAAAGATACAGGGTGAACTGGAAGAACAAAGTACAATCTAATTTTGTACATTCTGACCAGGAGACAATTTGCTTAATTTTAAGTATGAAAAATTTCTTCTGTATTTAAAAATTCTAAACATAAATGAGAATGTCATCAACTTTGCCATTTCCAGTTTTATGTTTTTGTGTATTGTTTATTGCTACATATTAATTCCATTGCCTTATTGCTTTGCAAATATTTCCATAGCATAGTGCTTAAGAACGTGGACTCGAGCTGCATTGCATGAGTTGTAGTCCAGGGGCCAGCACGTGTTAGCCCTTACTTCTGTGTTCTTGAGTGTAAGATACGACTATAACATACCTGATTAATTGGTCAATACAAATACAGCATTCTATCAGTATCTAGTATAGATTAGGTGCCCTATAAATATACCTTAAACCTTTTCTGAATGTGAAATTTATATTTAGTAGTTGATGAATGCATTGATAATTGATTTATATCACTTTTAATTTTGGGGGTTAATGAGAATCCTTCTGAATTGGGGATTTAAAAGATACAAAAATGTATTTGGTAAGGCCAGACTTACCAGTCTATAGCTTCTGTTTTTCATATTTGCTATGTTGTTTGCTGTTTTAGACAGGTAGACACGCTGGAACTCACTGCTTGCTTACTCTTGGATTTCCTGGAATACTTGTTGAGCGGTTGAGTGATTGCAGACTTTAGACTCTCAGACTAATGAAGTTAGTCAAAGGATAGATAGAGCTTACCAGAAATAATGATGTCTTGAGGAAAATTGGCACATTTACCTCTTATGAAGAGTCGGAAGGCTTTCATATTGCTTTAGAGGGTTTTTCTTTTTTGTTTTAAGACAGGATCTCACTGTATAGCAAGTGCCAGGATTGTAGGCATGCAGCACACCTGGCTTGATATTTTTGTTTTAATTTCCACTTCGAGTTAATTTTGAGTTAATTTTGATACATTAGATTTGATACTTGCTTATGTTTGTGACACTATATTAATAAAACTATATAAGGTTTATATAGAACTTAACAGCTCACAAATATTTTCACAATGTCATTTAAACCTCAGTAGGGTGGGGCTAGAAAAAAGGCTTAGTGGTTAAAAACACAGATTGCTCTTTCAAAGGATCTTAATTCAATTTCCACCTTCCACATGGCAGTTTCACAACCTTCGGTTACTCCAGCCCCAGGGGATCTGATGTTCTCTTCTGGCTTCTGTAGACACTGCATGCACATGGTACATAGCTATGTATCAGGAAAAACACCCACACACATGAAAGAAAAAGTAAAAAAAAAAATAATAATAATAACTAAAATACCAGATGTAGTAGAACAAACTATTAGCTTAATACTCATAAACCATAAAACAGATAAGAAACCCAAAGCTTCCAGGGACTGGGTGCATATTCAGGTCTCCAAGTCCAGTTGAAGTTTCTAACCTCTAGTGACCTGGCACCTTACTGGGCAGTATGAAAAATGGAAGCTATATGATGCTTAGTTCTTAAGGGCAGCTGTTCAAATAATTCGTTTATGAAAACCGAAACTCGGAGCCTTTGGATACTTAATATGCTTTAAACATTATCTTATTGTCAGTAAAATAAGATTCCTAATTAAGGAATTTCTTGAAGAATTTTTTTGTGTTTTAATGAATTTATAATGATTTGCCTTGACTGAACCTTGAAAAACTAGATTTTCCTCTAACTGATAAAATGATATGAGACTGAGTAATCAGAGACATTTTTTGACGGGGAAGTAAGGAGATTCACTTCAAGTATTCAAGGACTGCTAGATTCAAGAAAGACTGGGCTTTCGTCCAGCGTGATGGAGACAAGACTTTACAAAACTATCAAATTAGTGAACTAGATTGTCTTAGAATTTAGTGTCAGTTCTTGTCATCAGCGGGGTCTGTAGTAAAGAGGAGTACAGGGATGGAATGACGGTAAATCTGCAGTGTTGATTTCTACAACTGAGGAGCTGTGAACTATTTCAAAATATATAATTATTTGATGGTGGAAATAACAACTTTTGAGTTATAAGATATTGTGTTGCCTAAAAAGATATTAGACAATATGAGACATCATTTGATTTTAGCTACTTCGGCCTTTTTGCTTCAAACACATTAAAGTTCCATATGTATTTAGCTGTGATTACACTTCCTTTCAACTTATGTAGAGTTGGTAACATATCTACTATATATCATAAAATGCTAGCTTATGTAACTTTACCTAAGTTATTCAACTGTGTAAGAAATATATTACTTATGTAAATTGAATTTGATAAAAGGAAATGTAGGTATGGTTTAAATAGTTTAAATGTAGGTATAGTTAAAATCGTTTATTAAGAGGTAAAGAAAAGAAAGAACTAGAAGTTACAGTTTTTGTATATTGACTTTATCTTTTCTACAGTTATAATCATCAGACTATTTCCTTACATCTTTTTATTTATAAGCTGTTTGAATCTGGAATGATTGTTTGTACTGGGTTGCTCAAAGCATGAGAGTCTTAAGTTCAGGCAACAGACAACTTACTCTCTGTGTCCTAAAATTTAACTTCAAAAGAGTTGCTAACTTTAAGAGTTATGAGAAATATTTTAACATTCATAGTTTAAAGTTCTATAATTGCATAAATGAGCCCAGTCATGCATTTCATTGAACAGTGTTCAATGTGCACATGCTGTGCACGGATAGAGTGTCTTAGGCTGGACACTGGGATTTCCAGGTTAAACAAGATGTTCAGTTTCCAGTTTACGTTAAACTAAAACATGTTCCTTGTTGATGGTGAACATGGTCTCACAAACGCACACATGGTCACTCTGTGCTCATGTCAGTAATTGGCCTTGAATTATACTGGATAAATGTTGTCTTCTGTCATTTGATAGAATTTATATACATTTACTTGTATTTGACTGATTTGTTTAAGTACTAATATATATATATAATACATTTTCCCTCCTATTCCAGGCACCAAGTATAGATGAAAAAGTAGATCTTCATTTTATTGCGTTAGTTCATGTAGATGGGCATCTCTATGAATTAGGTAAGAACCATTTTAATTCCTCCTGGGGAGACTAATGACCAGGCTCTTCTTGTTGTTAATGGGACTGTTGTTCTCACTTTGTCTACTGAAATTGATAGCTCTAAAATTGGGTTGACAGAATAATCCTTTTCCTTTTTAGTATTTTTTTACTAAGAAAATATGTTTTTGATATTCTAGCATCTTATAATTCGAGAATGTATACCTCTTTTGGGTGCATTTTGGTAAAGCAGAAAATCAAGAAACAGCTATGAATTACTTTGGCAACATTTGATAAGCTATTGAATTAGTTGTCATATCTGAATGAACTATCTCTACTTTTAAAATGTATCCGTTCAATAATGAGTATCAGTCTTTTTCAGGCTTTTGTTTTGCCCTACATATGTTAGTCTGGTAATGGCTTCTTATTTAAGGCAAAGCACAATGATTACATAATTAATATTTTGTTACACCCAAACTTACTTACAAATAGTTGAACTGTTACTAGAGAAAATGCATATAATTTCAATGTTAGATAGGAGATATGGTCCCAGTATTGAAAAGCAAAACAAGTCCCCAGTATAGGGAAGAAAGGAAGGAATGAACCCTAACGTAAGAAAACAAAGGAGAAGTGTTTTCAGTAACCATGCGCGTGCAGTCGCCTTTTGCCTCTCTGCTCTGGATCTACTGCCACTTTTGATTTTCTTAGCTTTCTTAAAGGCAGCAGTGTTCTAAAATAGCTCAGATTGTGACTGTAAATATAATTCACAGAATTTAAATACATGTTGTACAGGAAACGTGGCAATAAAGTCATATACTTTAATTGGGCATTCTGCGGTAGTGTTGTGATTTGAATCAGAATCACACTAAACTTAAGAGAAGTCATTGTTAGACATATAAACCCACCTGCAGAACCAGTTAGAAGGTCCTGCGTTGTACTGATGGATTAGCTCTACAAAATCTGCATGGAGATAAATTGCAATAATCACTGAAGACCTCATGTGTCTGGTTGATTTCTGAAAGCAGAATTTTGCCATACACATTCTGCTGACGTCACGGTTTAGGGTAGAACTCAGTGGTCAAGCTCTTCCCAAGCATAAGCTGGGTTCAGGTCCTTTCTTTGCATGCAAAATAAGACCAAAGGAAGGAGATTTGGAAAGGCAACAGTATATTTAATGTATAATCAGAGATTGTAAGAGTGATGTTGGCACTGAAAATGAGAGACTTGACGGTGATACACAAGATGTTTAGAAGATTTAGTGTAGGTCCCCAGCAGCCTCAGCAGCAGCTCACAACCTCCTGGCACACCGCCTCCAGGGCTGGGCAGCCTGCCCTATTAGCTTCTAGGCTAATGCACACACGGTACAATTTTCTAAAAATACATAAGATTGGAAGCCTATGGAAATTAGAGTTTTTAAAGTGAGTGTAAAGAAATTCAGAGCTATCAAGAATGCCACAATCTTGGAAGTGTTGTAGAGAACAGAGATAGCTGCAAAGCAAATAAGTATGCAGTTACTGATTCCTTCAGCACAGATTGGCTCTTCTCCCAGTGTGGCTGACAGTAATGGCCCTAATAAATTCAAAAGGAATGTTGAGCAAGCTGAATAATTCATACTGAATTCGTGAATTAAAAATAGAGATTAAGAGAATGCTATTTTTAAGAAAACAACAAATTAAAAATCACTGTATTTATTGGTTCTCGGGATTGCACCTAGGGCCTCATATACGCTAGGCAAGCAGTCTGCCACTGGGTTCCACCTCCATCCTATGTGGTCTTATTTTTAAGACCATCTGATTGTAGGCACGTTGCAAGTAATTCCTACAGGCCGATTGTTTAACAGAGGATGGTGGCAGTGTTTAATTATTTACTCATTGCTAAGTTGTGAAGTTACTCATAAAAAGAACCAAGTTATTTCTGGTTTTCTTTTCTTTGGGGCCTCAGAAAGTTCCTAGTATATATGTAGAGGGAAGTACTACAGATTTAAAAATGAATCACTCCTGGATAAATTAGCAGATTGGAGTTCATTCAATGATAAATTCAAAGTAGACAGAATAAACAGATTTTAAAAATGTTAGCTAATGAATTGTTGCCTGTTAAAAGTAAGCTTCAAAAACTTGTAGTTTGGAATAATTTTGGATATTTATGGAAATTAGAATAATATGTAGAGCTTCTGTTTGCCTTTCTCCTGGGTTTGTCAGATCCTGTTAGTGTTTCTGAAACATTTGAAAGTCAGTTACAGACATGACACTGTACTGTCCTTTCGTGGCTCTCCGTGTCTTTGTTAGGGAGAGGTAGCTACTGTTCTGTAGAGCTGCCGTATGCCAGCAGCGTTGATGTGGCATCATGAAGGGCTCTGGCTCAGGGCATGCTTGTTACAGTGAACCCCGTCAGCTGTGGAGGTCAGGTGGCCCTGGTCTAGAACCTTGTGTTCCTGAATCCCTGTTATTGTCTTTTGTATCACTGACATTTATTTTTAAGAAGGACATTTACTTTGAAGTTTTCCTTCGATCAGTGTTGTCTGTCTGCTGTTATGCATTTGAGGCAAGAATATTGTAACAGTGATGCCACATTCCCTCTAGTGCATTGTATCAGAAGGCCATTTACCCATTTTTGGTGATGTTAATATTTGTCACTTGGTTTAGTTACTATTATTTCCGGAGATCCTTTGAGACTATCTATGCAAATATGTACGTTTTCATCAAGTTACCTCCCCCCCTTTTTAGATAGGGTTTAATTATATAACCCTGGCGCTCCTCAAACTCTCAGAAGATGTGTCTGCCTGTACCTTCCAAGGGTTGGGATTAAAGGTGTGTGTCATGGTGACTGGCCAGTGGTTAATGTTCATATAAAAATAGAGCCAAGACTGTGTTACAGGCCTGTGATCCTAGTTACTAGAGAGGCTAAGGTAGGAGGATTGTAAGTTCAAGTCCTATCTGTGCTAGGAGTGAACTCAGGGCCAATGTCAGGAGTCTCCTCTTGAATTAAAAAATCTAAAGAGAATAGGGATAGAGCTGAGTGGGAGAAGATTTTTCTAGCATATTCAGTACACTTGGTTCAGGCCCCAGTACCTCACAACATCAGTAACAAAATCCATCTGAAGGCTGGCTCTCTAACCTTTTGATTATCTTTGCTTTAAACTACTGTCAGAATGGAATGTGTATAGTTTCATTTTGCTTATATTGTTCAACATCTCAAGAACAGTGTTCAATATCTAACTCTTAATGAGTTTGGTTGAAATTCCACATTATGCTAAACTCCTGCACATGAAGAAAAATTATTCAGAAGAGTTTATTGCTCTTTAGAGTTTAATAAGAGATCAGAATATAAATGCCACAATCCAGGGAAATATGCACATTAATTTTTTAGTTAGTTAAAAAGAGGAAACCTACGTAGTTTTGCTTTTACATAAAAAATGAAAACGTAAAACAATGTAACTGTGTGGGGTAGACTATAATGAACATGATCTAATGATACATCAGCAGGACAAAGAGGCTACTGAGGAGATGGGCATCTGTCACAATAGGCTGTCTTATTATTGTATTTATTTTCTGTTTGTTTCTCAAGATTTCATAATGTAGGAGGTTATAAAGTTTGGATATGGATGAATTCACTTTAATTAGCATTGGCTTTTATCGTTGTGCAAGCTTTTATAATACAGAACAGACTAGCTTACTGAAGATTATTGTGAATTTGCATAAATATTTTAGTGAGTAAGTAGTTCTATGCTGAATTGTTGTATGGTACTTTCATTGATAGTACACAATAGGGCTGGAGAGATGGCTCAGAGGTTAAGAGCACCGACTGCTCTTCCAGGGGTCCTGAGTTCAAATCCCAGCACCACATGGTGGCTCATAAGCATCTGTAATGGGATCTGATTCCCTCTTCTGGTGTATCTGAAGACAGCTACAGTGTACATATATACATACATATACATATACATATACATATACATATACATATACATATATATATATATATATATATATATAGTGTGTGTGTGTATGTATGTATATGCATGTATACATGTGTATATGTATATATTATATTACATATCTTTTAGATATATAATAAATAAAATTTTTGAAAAAGATAGTACACAATTAAGCCATAACGATATGGCTTTTCATTGATAAAAATCATGTCATTCTTATGTAAATAAGATCCTCTGATTTAGCTCTAAAAGTGAAAGAGTCTGTATCTCTAAGAGTAAAGATGATTGCTGGGTGACTGCAACTTTTAGTCCCACCACTTGGTGGGCAGAGGCAGGGGGATCTGTGAGTTCAAGGCCAGCCTGGTCTACAGAGTCCAAGACAGCCAGGTCTACACAGAAAAAGCTTATCACAAAAACAAAACAAAAGTAACAAGAAAGATAAGTAACAAGAAAGATTTATTACAGGCCAGTTGGGAATTCTCTTTTGTAGAGACCTATACATAAAACAGAAAACTGTTAGTTGAAGATAAGATATACCCTATCCAAACCATGTACTGTAAATTAAATGCCAGGGACCTATAGAAAGTCATCACTGATGCATGACAGACAGAAGGTGCAGCTGTATAAAGTACTTATTTAATGAAGAAACCTCTGCTCAGGCCTGGTATTAATCCAGATGCATGGTTGCTTTAAATGTAAATGCTATGTATGCATATACGAATTGTGTATATTTGGGGGAAACTAAAGCCATAGATTGCATATTTGAAAATCTATTTTAAGATATATTACTTAAACTCTGTAACTTTCCTTGATTCACTGTTAAGAGGAAATGGGAGGTAAGAATAAGAAAGAATTTAACCTATTTGTCTATTTTCCACAGATGGACGGAAACCATTTCCAATTAACCATGGGAAAACTAGTGATGAGACGTTGTTAGAGGTAACAGTAGAATAACTGGCCCATTTTGACCTTTACTGACTTTCTTGTCATCTTTAAATGTCTTTAAAGATGACTGCATGTTTTCTTTCTGTAGATGCTTCTTGGTCCTTGATCATCTTAGAACACCCCCAAACAAAATTTTGAATTCATCTTAAAACTATAACAAGCAAGAAGCTTTGTTCCTGAGCCCTGTGTGCACAGGCTTAAATTGAAAAAGGCAAAAGAGTTGCTTGTTATAGGTCATCCTCTGTTGAATCTATGATACCATTAGTTGGGACTTGATCCCAGATTTAGAGATCTTTTTTTTTTAAAAAAAAAAAACTTTATTTATTTATTATAAGTACACTGTAGCTATCTTCAGACACCCCACAAGAGGGCATCAGATCTCATTGCAGATGGTTGTGAGCCACCATGTGGTTGCTGGGATTTGAACTCATGACCTCTGGAAGAGCAGTCAGTGCTCTTAACCACTGAGCCATCTCACCAGCCCAGATTTAGAGATCTTTAATGGGAACAAATTAGGTGGCTTAATATCAAGGCATTATATAATTTTTTAGATTAACTGTTGATTTTTAAATGTTGTTCAGTTTTGAGATGGTCTTACTATGTAGCACTGGCTAGCCTGAAAAGCGTTGAGATGGTCTTACTATGTAGCACTGGCTAGCCTGGAAAGCATCTGTGCACTCCAGCTGGCCTGGAACGTGCAGAGCTCTGCCTCCTGAGCGCTTAACCTCCTGATCAGCTGGGTTTATGGCAAAGATAAACAGTCACAACTACTTGGAAAAATTAGAAAAGAGGAATGGGAAGTTACTTGCCTAACTACAGAGAGAGTTTATCAACCTAGGCAATGTAGTAAGACTGAAAAAAGAGGGAGGGCCAGGGTTTGGGTAGAATGCTTGCCAAAACTCTGGATTTGATCTCAGTCCTGGAAGCAGGCAGAAGAATGTGGTGGCAGTATCTACTATACTTTATGATAAGCAAATTACTTTGCCACCTGTTTATTCTTTGACATTTTTAGTTTTCATTTCATATTAGAAAAGGACGTCTTCAGAATTTAAAAAAAAAAAAAAATACAGGCCGGGCAGTGCTGGCGCACGCCTTTAATCCCAACACTTGGGAGACAGAGGCAGGCGGATTTCTGAGTTCGAGGCCAGCCTGGTCTACAGAATGAGTTCCAGGACAGCCAGAGCTATACAGAGAAACCCTGTCTTGAAAAACAAACAAACAAACAAACAAACAAACAAACAAAAAAGATACAGAATTTATAAACTGAAAACGTGTACTTTCCCTCCCATAGGATGCCATAGAAGTTTGCAAGAAGTTCATGGAACGCGACCCAGATGAGTTAAGATTTAATGCAATTGCTCTCTCAGCAGCATAGCATCGCGACAGAAAGACCAAATACTGTATTATTTGCAACAAAAGTTAAATTTCTGATGCCATAACTAACTCAAAATTTTTAATATTTTCATTAACTTGACTAATTAAACTTTATGTGAATAAACCTTGACTTGACCTGTATTTTGTGTTGTTTTTGCTGCAACTTAAAGGTCAATTCTCTCTCCCCCCGCCCCCGAGTAGATTTCTCTTGCTGCAGTGCTAGTGATTGCTCTCTTAGTCTTTTGATAGTTCAAGAAGATCATGTGTTAGAACATCGCTGTCCAGAGTTTCACTCCCAGTGTGAATACACGTTAAACACGTTATCTTTTCCTAATTTATGTAGGAGGCAGGTGTTGAGCATTTACATGCAACAAGATGGTAGCTATTCTAGACAACAGGAATTAGCAGCTGTGAACACTGATGGCTTATGCCATGGTCGTGGAGTTCATGCTCTTGTGATCACAGATAGGTGGCAAACACACAAAGAGCACGCCAAGCAGTGACGGAGGCTAGACAGAGTAGGGTTTCTGCTGGAGAGTCACTGAATGGTCTGACATCTTCTTGACAAGGAGGGCTTCTCTGGAAAGTTGACCAAAGCTAAGACCCGAGTGACAGAAAATTATAAAGTGGGAAGGAACAGAAAATAGTCTTTACAGCATCTTGACGTTCTCAGTCCTAATAGAGGGATCATATGCCCTGCAGTAATGAGGGAAGCAGCAGGAAGTGTGGTCAGAGAAGGAAGAGTGCTATAGGTGAGAACATTTGGATTTACTGTCAGTGTGGTGTTAGGTCATGGGGTGGTGTTTAAGTAGAAAAGTGAAGATTTATAACTTTGAAAGATCATTCTGACAACCATGGATGAATATTTGAGATGGAGGGGCTTCAGAATACAGACAGAGGACTTGTAAGAAGCCCATAGTGGGAGTTAAGAAGAGCTATGTGAGTGTATATGGGTATGCTTTGAGGAAGGAAGGTTTTAAAGACAATCATAAGGCTCTGAAAAGGAGGAAGAGTATGGATTAAGACCCACGGTTACTGAAATGGAATGTTCTAGATATTTGTAGCGGAGGGCTATTTGGGTGTATACATTTATAAAAGCTCATTGAATTTCACACTTAAAATCTCTTATTTCAGCCAGGCAGTGGTGGCGCACGCCTTTAATCCCAGCACTTGGGAGGCAGAAGCAGGTGGATTTCTGAGTTCGAGGCCAGCCTGGTCTACAGAATGAGTTCCAGGACAGCCAGGGCTACACAGAGAAACCCTGTCTCGAAAAACCAAACCAAAACAAAACAAAACAAAAAACAAAAAAAAACCTCTTATTTCACAGTATGTACATTTCTTCTGAAATGCAAGACAAAGTAGATTTGGATTGAACTGAGGATAATGGGAAAAAAGCAATTCCTAAATGGAATTCTGGACCAGTGATGGGCTGTAGTTTAAAGATGATTCAGTGATTCACTGAATTAGATGATTCACTGAATTATGGGTTCCTGAGGCATTTTTCTATGGCAAAAGCATCTTTTAGCAAGTGTGTCATGGCACTGTGTCATAGAATGAATAGTATCTTTATTATTAATGTCTAGTTGCATCAGCACTTGAAACTTACGTTGTTTCAGACTCTACCCCACAACTCACATTTCAAACTAAGTCCCCAAGTGACTCATCCGAATATTTGAGGAATCGCTAGTGAGGAAAAAAACATGATGCAACCAGGAAGCTACTTTGGAGGATATTTAAGTTCGCCAGTTTTCCATCATTGTCATGACAGCCTAGGTAAGGTGATGCCAGTTGGATGAAATGATCTGAGTTACATTCTGTGCTGGGACTCCATACCTGCACGATGCCTGTGCCATGCCCGTGATTAGAACCAGGAACTCTGTTCTAGTGACATCATGCGTGTGTTTACATGTCTGCCGTGCAGTCTACTCTGGCCTCCCTGTATTTCTCCCACTATACGTAATGTCTTAGTTCTAAAGTAATGGGACAGTATCCAGAACTATAGTTTATGATGAAGAACACTAAGGGAAAAAACTAATTGGTTGAAGTGTCAGGGCTTTTTGGGTTTTGTTTTTTGTTTTATGTCTGAGGGCCACAATGGAGGGTGTTTGCTTACTATTTCCACTCATGTTAAACTGTAACTTTCCGTTTTCATCTGTTTCAGGATCTACTTGCTTTTTTTTTTTTTAAGTTCCTGTTTGTGTGTTACTTGGTATAAGTGACTCATTTTGGCTTGGTCTGTTGAGGCTTACTACAGGAGGACCTCAGTCTGAACAATAGCCTATACTGTTCAACAATCTCTTATGAGACAGCTTGAAATTCTTCCCTCCTTTTTCCTAAGAGCTTGCCACATCTGCTCTGTACCCTTCAGTTCTGTGCTTAGTCAGTTTTTCAAGACTTGGCTCCTGTAGGACAGAATAATGGTTTATTGTAGAAATCTGCAGAGACTAAAGCTGAGCAACTTGTGGCCCATTTCTGTAAAGTGAACCACCATGATAAATCTGGGGGGGGGATGCTGTCCTAGTTATGGTTTCCATCACTGTGAAGAGACACCATGACCAAGGCAACTCTTATAAAGGAAAACTTTTTTTTTTGGTTTTTCGAGACAGGGTTTCTCTGTGTAGCCCTGGCTGTCCTGGAACTCACTCTGTAGACCAGGCTGGCCTGCCTCTGCCTCCCAAGTGTTGAGATTAAAGGCATGTGCCACCACTGCCCAGCAAAGGAAAACATTTAATTGGGGCTGGCATACAGATTCAGAGCCCATGCCCACAGTGACATACTTCCACATAGGCTTGTTCAAACACAGGAGTCTAATGGGCATACTTAGCTAACATAATGCAAAATACATTTAGTCCAACTTGAAAAGTCGCTGTAGGCTAACAGTCTCAGCAATGGTAAAAGTCTGAAGTTCAAAGTCTCCTCTGAAATTCATGCACTCTTTTAACTGTAATCCCCAATGAAATCAAATTATAAAAAAGCAGATCACATACTTCCAACATCACAGGATATACATTACCATTCTAAAACGTCAGAGTGAGGGAATACTGGACCATGGAACTCCCAGTCTGGAGCTGGTTTGGAGGATTCGGGTCTTGCATGACTTTCCAAGTCTCCTTCAAAGATCCTGGGTTGGTGACTATCTGGGTACTTACGCGTTGAGTCCTATAGTGTCTGCTCTTCCTACAGTCTCTCACTAGGTGTTTCTATCTCAAGACCTGGAAGTTCAGAAAAGTGAGAAGGCAAGATCCAGGCCCCCATCTTGATGAAAATGCTGTTGAAATCTTGTACAAGATTATCAGAGCCAAAGTTGCCATGAAATCACATCCCTCCTCTGGAACTGAAGCTGAAACTGAATTCATCCAGAGGCCAAGAACATCAAACCTATAGCTCTCTTGACTCTGCTTATCTGTCTTCTTTGTTATCATCCCTGTCATCATGTTGAACCATCCCTCCAAAATATATGATCTTTGTGGCTTAGAGGTCCAGGAAAGCTGTAAAAGTCTAGGGAAAGATCAAAGAAGTTCATTCCTGTAGGAGGACTGGAAACTTTGAACTTCTATAACCCACAGGCACCACAAGACTGCCAGCATTCACTACTCTGTTGAATCTATTTTAGGTAATTTTTGCATAGATCTCTGAGTGTATATATACACACACACTCGTGTTCTTGTACATATATGTGTATGTACATACCCTGTACAACCAGTCCTCTATATGTAAGTTTCAAAGGTATCCTCAGACCCAACCAACTGTAGATGGAAAACATTTAGAAACATTAGCATCCTTACAGAGACCTTTATCATTGCCCTTAGCCAGTCTAACAGCTATATGTCACATTTGCATTGTATTAGATATTCCTAATGATCTGGAGATTACTTAAAGTGTTCAGGAGAGTGTGTACAGATGATAGCATACTGTGCCATCTTGGGATGTGGCTGTTCTGTAGTTCATGTCAGATGGGGCTGGGATGGGAGCCAGAATCAGTCCACAGATCAAATAAGGATTCTTGTATGTCCTCACCTCACACCTAGAAAAGGCCAGTGACTTAGGTGTAAATTCTATTAATTAAATCCTTGACTGATGCTAGAGAAAGCACTTGAAAAGTGTGTAATCACTCACTGTGAGATGTTTTGAGAGCTGATTTTGAGGGCTTTTTATACACACAAAGTTTGATGTTTTATTTTTTAAGGTTCTCTGATAAAGTAGCCAAACATTAGTTGGAGCTTAGGAAATCCTGTAGAAGAGGGGAAGGAAGTATTGTCAGAGCCAGAGGGGTCAAGAACACCACAAGAAAACTCATGGGATCAACTAACCTGGACTCACAGGGGCTCACTGAGACTGAACCCACAACCAGGGAGCCTGCACAGGTCTAACCTATACCCTTTATATACATGCTATAGTTGTGTAGGTTGATTTTCTTGTGAGAAAACAGTGGAAACGGGCTGTCTCTGATTCTATTGGATCCTTTTAGGACCTTTTTCCTTCTACTGGTTTGCCTCACACTGCTTTTCTATGAGAGGATGAGAAGTCAAACCTACTCCATCTTGGGACCAGCCTCCATTTTAATAGAAAAAGAGCCTGAGAACTTGACCGCAGCTGAACCCAAACTGCACCCAAATTCTAGGAAGAACCACATAGTTTGTCTCTGTCCCATACCCCAGACTTACTCCCTAGCTACTCCCTAGTAACAGCCAATCAAGATTAATGTGATAGTCCAGATGTACTTTCAGACTGTGACTGTTCATGGTTTTGCTTTAGAGCACCCACCTGTTGGCTTACATGTTACAATAGTCACTCAATTAGATGCTTGTCAGGCTGAAAACTCCCTCACTTGCCTGACAGTTCCTGTAAAACTTTGTCCTGCTGAGGGCTCAGGGCTTCACCTTCCCATCCTGCTGCATCAGGGTCAGCAGCGAGCTCAAGCTCCAGCTTAAATAAAAAAAGACCCTAGTGCGATTGCATTGAAATCAGCTCCTTGGTGGTCTTTTGGGGTTCGAGAATGATTCCTGAATGGGCCCAACAAGGAGGTGCCTACTCTTAATGCAACTTGACATGCTATGGTTCCTTGATATCTATGAGAGGCCTGCCCTTTTCTGAAGACAAAGGGGCAGGGTAGAGTGGTGGTCCGGAGGAGGGACTGGGAG